GACCAAATATCTAGTCTTTTGCTCAACTCTTAAATATTACAAATACATGTCTTTAATCTTAATCCTCTCCCAGCTCTAATCTGATCCTAATTATAATCCCGACTCCAACGTCATGAACCACAAAATTTTATTTCTCTCACATGAGAAACTGTCAAATGTCCCCACAAGACAGTGTCCTCACAACAATAGTGTTTTTCCCAAAGAACATCCCCACAAGTGGAGCTATAGCAGGGCGTGCACACACAGTGCACAGACAATAGTGTCCATGTTAGTGGGGGACTTTGGTTTGGAGTGTTTGACCACATTCTTTGTTTCGAGAATAGATCTTTACATCGCTGTCCATCCTTAATGCTGAGCTTAATTAATGTATTCATTTTCAGGGAAAAAACAACAGCAATTTGAACTTTTTCTTTTTTTTTTTTAGAAAATGTGAGAAATTAGCTTAAAATAAAACAGGACTAAAAGAAATGCTCTTAGTAAAAAGTTAATTATGCATTAAATAAATAGTATTGAAAAAGCAGAGTACAGACCACTGTGAACATAAAAAACTAGGGTTAATAAATGATGGATAATTAGAAAAAAATGATTAAATATAAATTAGCCAAGAAAATTCAAAATGTCATTAAAACAAAGGAATTACAGCAAACAGAAATTTGATTTAAAGTCGCATTAACTCCTCCATGTACTAGTGGTGGCCCCCGATCCAGACATTGGACATACTGTATCTGACTCCGATTTTCATTTTCCAGACATTGGACATACTGTATCTGACAAAACTGATTTTCATTCTTATTTTCATTTTTTTTCCATTAAAAATTCCCGACAGCTCATCTTTCCCAAAGCAACGATGCCCTCATCTCCACTTTCCCCTGACTAAAACGGTGGATTATTCTCAGATTAAGGGAGTGCCTTTTTCTTTATCCCTGGATAATCCTGCACAGCACGCAGCTCAGAGGTAATGAAGCTCTCTGGTGATCCGTGCCAGGATGAATCCCCTAAAAACATTCCCATGGTAACCCTTGTACTTTTGAGGAAATATGATTTCCATAAAAAATCCTGTCAAACTGATGTTTCCCATGTTTTAAAAAAGTCTTCAAAAAGTGAGGGAAAAGTCGGTGATGACATGACTCCTTTGTCTGTTTACTTAGTCACGTTTTGAGCTAATTGTTAGCTCTTTCTGACTAATGTTTATCCTGAGATTCTGAGTTTTTTTCATCGATAACCTTCAGCTATCATCTCACTTTATGTTTAGCCATTTTTTTATTTAGTGTTTAGGATTTCCTGGGCTAGCCTTTAGTTATCTCTTGTCTACTTTGGCTAACCTTTAGCTTTGTATGCATATATGTAGTTTCTTTTTGTCTACACTATGAAACTTTTTCTGCAGTTTGTCTATGGCACTACTCACTAGTAACTATCTTTGTGGCTAACTTTACGCTTCTTTGCTATATTTGTAGCTACCTGCTAGTTAGCTTAACCTTATAGCTATCTTGAATGATATAGTTTGACCTTCTCAGAGATGACATTTATCTAACCTGCCTCCCAGAATGACAACACTGA